GAGGAGGGTTCAACAGTAGTTAACGAAATGGAAAAAGATCTGACTGTAGAATCGAAGGAAGTCCCTGAAGTACTTGAAAAACCCCTTGGGGAGCCTCTTAATTTGGTCGTAAATAATTCCGAAACAAATACCAACATATACGAGCCCGAGCAGAAGCATCTTGTTGAAACTACCTCAGACGTGATTTCTGATGCGCAACCAAGCACCTCGCTCGAAGAACCTCAGCCTAATCAATTATCACAAGAGCATACTAATCCGGTATATGTGGAATCTCCTAAATCGCACGAAAATTCCGAGACAGTTGAATCTCAGAAACAGATCAATATCCCGGAACAACTTGAACAAGATAAGTCAAGTATTCCGAAGAATGAGATCGTAAGAGTACCTGAATCCATAGAAATTCCACAACCACCGCCCTCAAATCAGCCAGACATTGAGTCAACTCCTGAAGTTGGAAAGAATGACGAAAATCCAGTGGATAATTCCATGGTAACCGACGCTCCTTCACAATCGCCAATCGCGGCAAATCCCGGTTCTCAAGTAGAATTTAATACCGCTATGGCAAAGGTGAAAGAGATTGCCGCTAAATTAGGAGTTAAACCAACAGTTGAATCCACGAGTCCTCAAAACCATAATAACAGTACTGGTAATTCTTTTGTAAATTGGTTCTTTACTATTTTTTGGATTAATTGCTTATAGTTTTTTTTTTTTTTAGCAACTCAACAGGGAGTTAAACGTTCTCATGATGACAGTTATAGTTCTCATGGTTCTAGAGACAGTCGTGACGAATATCGGGATGAATATCGAAGGGATTCTTACAATAGACGGGAACGAGGAAATCGGTATGATGATTATGGAAGAGAATCTAAACGAACTGCATATGATGGTGATTATTTATCGTTCTACGTAAAAGAAGTTTTTCTACATAATTAATTTTTGATTGTAAATAGTTGACAATGGTGGTCGGCATCGTTATGGTCTGGGAAGTGAGGAGAGACGATCTTACCACGGCTCGCATTATGGGCCAGGCGGCGATTCATCCCGTTCAACTACTCACGAAGAATTTAAAGTCCCTAATGCCGTTGTAGGATTGGTAATTGGTCGTGGTGGTGAAAATTTGAAAAGAATTGAAAAACAAACTGGCGCGAGGATTCAATTTTCGCAAGGTAATTATGTGAACGTTATATGCGATTAATTCTTCATGTTTATTTAATATTACATTGTTATTATTAGATCAACCTCCTGACGTTGTAGAAAGACGAGTCACCATTACCGGTACTCAAGAAGACGTTAAGAGCGCCAAAGCAATGGTTCAACAGCTGGTGGAAGATGCTATTAATGGAAATTCTACTAGTCGTCGGGATTCACAAGGCTTTAATCGATCAATCACGATTCACATTCCAAGCAGTAAAGTAGGTGTTGTCATCGGACGTGGTGGGGAGACCATTCGAGATTTACAAGATCGAAGTGGTGCTCGTATAAATGTTACCCCGGATAGTGCAGCCAGTCCCCAATCTAACGATCGACCCGTTACTTTGATTGGTGATGAGTCTGCCGTACAGAGGGCGAAGGCTTTGATAGACGAGATTGTGAATACTGGCGAATCGTCATTGTCTGACAGAGTTTGTATAACTTTGATATCATTCAAAAGTGTACATGCGTTTTAATTGACAATTTATAATAATTCTGTTTATAGCATTCTAAAGATTATCGATCCAATAGCTATAGTGGGGCAAGCACTTATAGTAATGACAGTCATGGCAGCAATTATGGTGGTGGTGGCGGTCATTATGGACCACCCTCTGGTCATTATGGTGGCCCTCCGGGAGGTAAGTCTAGTCAGGATGGCATCACCATTCAAGTTCCAAATGATTCTGTCGGTCTCATCATCGGAAAAGGTAATTTAAATGCATTTTATTTGTTAAGAAAACGAAAATTTCATTTTGCTATGTTGGTATTAATTTAATATAATTTATAAAGGTGGAGAAACGGTAAGAGCTCTTCAACAGCAGTCAGGTGCCAGGATACAAATTGAGCCCGTACACGGTGTGCCACCAGCTGAACGTAATGTACAGATCACCGGTAAGAATAAGAATAACTCCTTGTCTACATGCATGTGACAACTTTACCGCTTCCAAACGTTGTAAATTCAATGTCAGTTGTTCGATGCGCTCTACGTTCATGATAATGTCGCTTGTTGTAGGTTCTTCTGAAAATATTGCTATCGCGAAACAATTGATTCTTGAAAAAGCTGCATCTGGAAATGTACTATCGTTTGCTATCGCTTGTTGAGTGTGATTGCTATGATTTTTTTGGATATTTTGTTATTTAAAGGCATAGGATTATTCTAGTGCACATTTTGTTGATGACGATGCTGTATCTTTTTTTTTGTTGCTTTGTTTCCGAAATGTACGTTTTCCATTATTTACACAGCGCGAGAGGCCATCACGTCATGGAGATCAAGGAAGAGGGTGAATACTTTATAGTTTTTATTTTATCAGAGTTTAGCGTGAAATTAAGACTTTCTGTAAAACAGAGACTACGGCTCAGGGAATTATCAACAAAGCTCTTATCAGCAAGGTAGTTATCAGCAAGGTAG